GAAAATAAACCTAAACACTTGCTTTATCACCACAAAAGATCATAAAAGTAATTTTATTAATAACCCGGAATATAGACTCATAAACCCTACCAAGACAGAATTAGGTAAAATAATTCTGCAGGATATATGTAAATCCCTTAGGACCTTCCTTAATATTAACCAATGGCAATCAACTAAAGATTGCATTAAATGGTTTGAAAATTACAACAAAAATAAAAAGTGCTCATTCATTAGATATGATATTAAGGAATATTACCCGTCTATTTCAGAGAAAACCCTAAATGAAGACCTTAGCTTAGCCAAAGAATACATCCAAATTTCTGATGATAAAATAAACCTAATTAGACATTGTAGAAAAACATTGTTATTCCACGATAATACTATATGGATAAAAAAAAAGATAATATTAACGGTTTTGACAACCCTATAGAGCTATATATATATCTATATCTCTCTCTATCATATATATATATATATATATATATATATATATATATATATATATATATATATATATATCTATCTATCTTTATAAATTTTTTTTCTAATAGATATGTTTAGGAATTGTATTAGAGAAATAGTGAATATTTTATTTTGAAGTAAAACTAATGAAAGTAAATTTTTATCTAACTAAATTCTATGGAATATTTTAGGTAGACTAGTAAAATAACTCATAATAAATCATTTTAAAATATGTGAGCAATTGAAAAGTACAAACTTATTCAATGACCACAGTAATGTTATATGGGCCCCCAGTTGAGAACCGCTGCTCACCGTTTTTTGTGGGCACGAAGTTTAAATTTCATTTAATCACAGCACATCTTAAACCTGACGAAAATAATATAAACTTTTTTTTTAAGTTATTGCTTGCATAATTTAAACGCATTTTCTTTATACAGTGTAACCCGGATATAAGAGTTGTCGGGACTGGAGAAGTCTCTTATATACTGGTTTCTCTTATATCCGGGTTTGGTCTAATTTTATATACATTAACACAGGCTCTAATTTAGGACCAGAGAAAATCTCTTATATCCGGGTTTCTTATATCCGGGTTACACTAATTTGATAAGGGGCCAAAAACTAGGACTTAAATTTTTCTCGTAATTTGTCGGTCACTTTGAAATTATTCCGATTGATAAGAATTTTTTTTTATGAAGATGTTTGAAGAATCGAATGTAAAGTTTAATACCACATCAGAATTTCATTTTTTGTTTTCTATTTACAAATGTTACATGGTATTTCTTACGGAAGATAAACTACAGAATTAAAATGAATTACCTTTCATTCCTAAAAAAATAATTATTGTACTAAGAACTTATAGAATAAAATATACTCTTAACTTATTGGTTATATAAGGCTAAAAATAGTTTTTAAAACATAGGCAACCAGTTTTCGTATTTTGCTAGTTTCGGTTTTCTTTCTTTAATTAATTTTTTGACATATATTTTTCTCTACATTTAAAATGTCATGTTTTCCTAAATCTGTTAATTAATTTAACTAATTCTATTTGAAATAAATCTGTAGCACAGATATTTGATTAGAATTTTATTGCCCTAAAGTGTCATTTTCTTAAAATTAAAATGGATCGATCGTAAATTAAACATGACAGCGCTCTTAAAAAGATCTCAAAACTGACATTTTTAAAAGCATTGTCACATAAATTTTTACGATCAATCCTCCATCTTAATTAAAAAAAATCTATTCAAATATCTGTTAGTGATTTATTTCAAATAGAATTAGTTAAGATTTCGTAAAATGACATTTAAAACCGCGTTGAAGTAAATGACATTTAAAACCGCGTTGAAGTACATTTTTAATTTTTTTTTTTTTTTTTTTTCAAATAAAACCAATTTTGCTATAAGTGTACTTTTTTTTTTCTTGCGTTTTATTTTTTCAGCTTAAATTGTGCTAGTCGCTATGTAAGGCTAATTTAATTAAGACGTACTCGATACTATATTTCAGTCGGCGTTGATAACTGTTGCAAAGATGTCACATGAAGCGGATTGCAACTTTGCTAGGATTAAAGCCTGAAAATCCATATGAAGTCCTTTTCCGTTTATAAATTTAATCTTTTTCAATACAATATTTCATGCGTACATATAGTAAGGGAGATAACTCAATTGTTGTAGTTGCTTCCCTTGTTCGAATAGTTAAATCCTCAAGTGCTTACATCCGCTAAAAATAAGAAACGATATTTATGCACGAGTATTATGGATTTTAGAAGTAAACTCGTAAAAATTGGGACATAAAAGTATTCAGTTCTCGTTGTCCGAGACACTGAATTTTAAATGACTAAATATGCAAATGAAGATATGCGAGTGGTGTAATGCAGGGCAGCTTGGAATGAGAAGTCGGTGGGTCGAGTTCCTTACATTCACTTACACGCAATACCCTTGGGAAAGGGTATAGGTCTACCTCTTCCTTCGGCTATGGTTTAAATAGTTGTGAACACTCTTCAGCGTTGGTTGGCAAACAATTCTGAATTTAAAATTGCGTGGTCCCGGAAAAGCACATACTATGCAGCTAACAAAGTTGACTGGTCCCAATTGGAATATTGACCCAAGACTAGCCTTTAGCTTAACGCTACCACTTTTTCATCAATGTCAATTTTCGTGCTAAAAGCGGATCACAGCTTCATACATGTTTCTGAAAACCTGAACTTCTCATTGGACAATAAATATTAAAATTATCTTGTGTATCTTCACGTACATTGTTCTCAATAAGCAACACACAACATATCAGGCTCCAGACTGAGTTTTGTAAGGCGCTTTCTGAGTGGTTAACAAATATTAAAAAAAAACAATTTACCTGCTCACCACTACGTCCGAATAACATCAGCCTAGTTTTTGACCTGACGAAAAAACAATGCTCTCGGGATCCTATCACGTGATTAAAAAACAAACAAACATATAAATTGAAGGTGCGAGCGAACCCAGTCAGGGAGAATTTACGACGACTAGAATTTGCTAAACGAGTTCACGACGCTTGTATCATTACTGCAGTGAAGTATAAAGTTAGAATCTCAAGTTCTTTAACACGAAATAACTTCGCTGTAATTCAAGCTAAAATATCAACGAAACAACTCACTCACCAACTTCTGCAACTTAAAAATTATTCAATTACGTTATTGAATCTTACTAAACTTAAGTACAAACAATTACGAACAATACTTTCAACTACGAGCAACGAAAACAAATTTAGACATTACGGAACATTCACTCCTCCAACTTCTTTGAAGCTAAAAGTTTATCAACATATTTTCAGCTTTACAAGATTCTTTAAACTCTTCCAGTGAACATTTTGAACAAGATAATTCAGCTTTTTGTGAGCTCAGGTAAAATATTTTATTAGTAAAAAATTTAGCCCAGTCAAAGGGAAGTAACTCATATTAATAGTTATTGTAAAACTGTTGTCATTTATAAATATAGATATTGTACATGTTATGAAAAGTTATTTTCTTGTGTTCTTTCTCTTGTTTGCTTACACATTCATAAAGTAAAAAAAAAAACGTGCGGGTTGATTTATGCCGTCAATACCGCTACAAGCCACCCATACCCGCTCAGATATATGGATGGCATAACAATGGCTCGGAATTGGAAATCGCTGAGCCGAATGTGACTTTCAGTCGTGTTCGTTACACTCGCGCGCAAGTACCCTTGGGAAAGGTACGACTCCATCTCTCACCCCTCTTAGCTATGGATTTGTTGCGTGATCCTGCAGTAATTAGGTAGAAACATGTCTCCTGGAATAGTTATCTTGCAACAATTATTGTGGGCTGGTTCAGTTAAAATAAAAATGAATAACGCAAAACAATATAAAAACAAAACCGATTCCATGTATTGACAAAAGTGATTAAAAAAAAAAAAAAAAAAAAAAAAAATGGTATGTAATGTAATAATCCTTTTTAAGCTTAAGCCCGAACACTTTTTGTTTTTCTCTCTCCAGAGTCAAGTGCTAAAACAAAGGTTGTACAATGTAACCCGGATATAAGAGTTGTCGGGACCGGACAATAAGTCTCTTTTATCCGGGTTACACTGTATAAGAATGGTTAACGCTAAGAAAATGAATTATTCTCTTTTATTTATATATATATATATATATATATATATATATATATATATATATATATATATTATTAGTGATCCACAAAAACAGCTCAATGTATTTATTATTAAAGACCACATGAAGACACAATAAATCTAAAATCCCTTCATATAAATGAATATGCTTATTTCAACCGACGAAATTCGCCAGTCTTATTCGGACCCTGTATAGACAGAGTTCGTGTCGGAGTTAGAAATTTATTTGACAACTACAAAAAAAAAAAAAAATCAACAAAATACAGAATTTATCCATTTCAATGTTTCAGTCAGACAAAAGGCACGAGACAGTAGTCAAGGGAGGGTAACGGTATTAGTTTCAAGGTTGCTTCTGGACTGCTCAGTACCAATAAATATAAAAAAAGATATAAATGATGCTCTAACAATTTATCCATTATCTGCCATAATAATATACCAACCAAAAATATAGCTCTATAGCTTAGACTGATGATGCCAGGGGGACCTCCCAATTGACAATGGACTAACTCACCTAACCTTCTTAGGTTAAAGGGAATTTTCTGACACCCGCCCGATAGATGACATCAAAACGCGCACCACCTCCCCGTGGTGACATTTGGAAACGCCTTGGTGCGGCCAAGTGGGCGCACCGGTCAAAGCGATTCCGGCCGTTAGGTGGGTGGTAGTGAACGGATCAACAAGATTCCCACTGTCCCTACCTACTATCTAGCGAAACCACAGCCAAGGGAACGGGCTTGGAACGATCGGCGGGGAAAGAAGACCCTGTTGAGCTTGACTCTAGTCCGACTCTGTGAGGAGACACGGGAAGTGTAGCATAGGCGGGAGACACGCCTTTGTCGGCGTCGGGAGCGCGTCGATCGAGACCGGGCGGCGACCATCGGTTGCCGAGCATGTCGGTGGCGCAGATGCGGTTGGTGGGTAATGTCAACTGGTAGTGGCGGGCAACCGTCGTTGTCAAATGACGTTATCGTCGGCGGTTACATTTCGTCGTTCTCCGACGGGCGGGCCTCCATCTCTTCGGTGGGCCGGCGCGCTTTATTCGTACCGGTTTTTCCGGCCTTCACCGTGACCGGCGTCGTTCGGTGTCGTCGAACTTGAAACACCGCCACTTCCGTCATTTTTTCGCTCACCCGGTGAAAAGGGGGACTGGTCGCTCGACGGCCCTCTTGCTAGCTCCCCCCCCCAACCACCATTGGGGCCCACGCTCGACCCTTGACCGTGGACCGTGCAGGGCGGAAGTGTGACTGAAGCGATACGTCTGTCAAACGATAACGCAGGTGTCCCAAGGCGAGCTCAGCGAGGACGGAAACCTCGCGTAGATCAAAAGGGCAAAAGCTCGCTCGATCTACGAATACGGACCGCGAAAGCGTGGCCCATCGATCCTTTCCGAGCGGAGAGCTCCTTTCCGCCGAGAGGTGTCAGAAAAGTTACCACAGGGATAACTGGCTTGTGGCGGCCAAGCGTTTTTAGCGACGTCGCTTTTTGATCCTTCCATGTCGGCTCTTATCATTGCGAAGTAGAATTCGCCAAGCGTTGGATTGTTCACCCTCTGACAGAGAACGTAAGCTGGGTTTAGACCGTCTTGAGACAGGTTAGTTTTATGCTACCGATCGGCACGTGGCTATCCCGTCCAGTACGAGAGGAACCGGTTCGCGTGCTCGCTCGAATGAGCGGCGGTGCTACGCTGCCTCCGCTCGTTAACGGCTGAAAACTTCTAAGCCAGAATCGCGACCGGTGCCGTCACGGTATTATGAAATGCGTTGTCTTTGTCGATGCGCCGTTCATGATCTCCGAGTCAACCCGTTCTCCGCCGCTGACGCTCGTCGTCTTCGCTTTTTTCTCTATCTCTTTCCGCGTGTCGTTCGCTACGGGTCTCCGCTCGCGGCGCTACTCCGTCGCTATCGGGTGTCGGTCGGCGTGCAAAAACGTCTCCTTGCCCGGTCTGAGTGTTCGAGAAATTTTCGATAAAACATAAAAAGTGTCTTAAAATAATTAGTAGACGAAAATGAATAAATATACTATATAATAAAGAAACGGAATGTCTACTCAAATACGAGTGTCCACTAAAAATAGCATTTAAGCAATACATACATACATACAGTCCGGCAATTATTTTTTAAGACATTTTTTGTGTCGGAGGCCGCATATTTTCTATGAAAATTTCTCGGACGTTCAGGCCGGTAAATGTCGTTAATACTGTTTATTATAAACTGAGCGTTTACTTAAATATTTGTATCTATAAAAAGAATGTATAAACATAAAAAATGTCTTAAAAAATAATTGTCGGACTTTGTCCATTTCATAATGTGTGACGTAATTTGTTTACATTTGGATACGCATCGAGCAGATATGAATGAATGAGAGAAAATCATGGAGAATTGTGTTTAAATACAGTAAAATCGGCCTTGCTAACCAAACGCCCAATCGGTAAAGGCACGTCAGGCTATATGACGGTTCCGTATAGGATACAGGTACGATTCCTGTCGGAGGACCATATTTTCTATGGTTAATGTTGTTAATACTGTTTATTGTAAACAAAGCATTTACTTAAATATTTATATCTATAAAAAAGAACATATAGACATATATATATATATATATATATATATATATATATATATATATATATATATATATATATATATATATATATATTTTGATGACATTAAGATTTTAGTGGATAAGGGACAATTTTCAAAAAGAATTTATATAGGCATGACTGTATTATGGGGTCGTAATTTATTCCCAATGTTTAACTTCAATATTGTGGGTTCGTAGACCAGAAATTAAGCTACTTGTATATTTTTTGTAACTTTGTAGAAAAGTTGTCTCCCTTACAATAGTGACATAGTCATTGTTATAACAATGGCGGACTGTTCCAATTGTTCGTGAAGCCAAGAGGTGAAATGCCAACTTTATGAGAGTAGACCCAAATAAAGGGGGGAAATATTTAAAGACACAAGACAACTCGTGTAATAAAGAAAAGAGAGCCGTGATCGCCTACGACATTAAGGAAGAAAGACTTTTCTGAATTCAAAGACTGGTGAAGTTAATAGGAAACCACTCCACTATTTTTACCAAAAACAGTCATTACGATTTACTGATAAGAAAAGGAAGTTGTGAAGAGCAATAAGTGTTTTACAACCTGAAAGGAAAAATGAGCTCTAAGTTCAAAACCAGCGGAGAAATCAACGGGAAACCACTTCACTCTATTTTCTAAGTCATTACAATTTAGATAGGTAGGCTGTGGAGATCTATGATCGCCTACGACATGAAGAGATATGGAATTAAAAAATAAAATGAATAAATAAAATAAAGTATGGTATTAAGGGAGAAGTGCTGAATATCAACGAATTTCAAGCGACCTTGGCGTTTCATAATCATAATAATAAGCGTTTGCCATTAAAATGGATTTGTTTTTAGCAGCATTTTCTACATGATGCCTTGTGTTTGTTTGATATTTCGTGAGAGCTTTAACAGAACTTATTTAAAATCATCTGCAATAACATTTAGACTAAGATCAAAAACTACATTTTATACAAAAAAGGAGAAAAAAGAAAAAACTTGTACTCAGGAAAATTGCTTTTAAAAGATTTAATGCTTTTTTTGTTTTTTTTTTTTTTTTTTTTTTTTAAATATTCGACGATAAATTTCAAGCTAATGGGAAGTTTTTAATATATCACAGTTTAATGAGAATATTTATACAGATTTATTCTTAATATGATTTTAAATATAAAGTTTATTCCTATTTAAAAGCATAACCTTGAACTAGGAAAATAAGTTTTATTTGAATTGAAAATGACCTAGAAATTTTTAAAAATTGTGTAATTACATACCGCATTAAGTAACTTTTTGTCACTGAAAATGGCTATACAGGAAAGCTTTTAATGTCGTATGGAACAAATCTAAAGGGATTAGTTAATCGTTTAAAGTTTTAATACATTTTTTTAAGTACCTTAGATATCAGCTATTTATTCGCCAAGCGGCACGCCTTGGCTAATAATGATTAATCTGCGGTTAAAGGCAATCAGGATGATAAAGTCTCCCTGCGAGACCAAGAAATACTTTAAAAGATGTAAATTCTTTGTCAGATTTTCGGTGAGACCGAGAAATTCAGCACACCCTTAAAATATTAGACTTTGTTATATTCAGCTACGGATTTAAGGCTTAATAACCTATAGAAAAAAAATCCACTTGATACACTTATTCGACTATGACAGAACGTCTTCTAAAAAGCCTTGATTTTTTTCCCAAGAAACTTATGGAGTCATAGTTTTCAATTGTCCCGGTAGAAATCAGAAATTGCTATACACCAGGGGTTCCCAACCTTTAATTGCGTCATCACCCACTTTTACATGGAAACGGTTTCCATTACCTACCTGCATATAATAGTTAAAATCATACAGTGTTGCGTAAATTGTTTCTTTTTATAGGTACAAATATTTAAGTAAATGCTCTGTTTATAATAAACAGTATTAACAACATTAACCTGCCTGAATGTATGTATGTATGTATGTATTGCTTAAATGCTATTTTTAGTGGACACTCGTATTTGACTAAATATTCCGTTTCTTTATTAAATAGTATATTTATTTATTTTCGTCTACTAATTATTTTAAGACATTTTTTTATGTTTTATCGATAAGATATATATAAGAACGTATAAGCAAAAATGTCTTAAAATAATTGTCAGACTTTGTCTATTTCATAATGTGTGATGTCATTTGTTTACATTTGGATACGCACTGAGCAAATATGAATGTATGAGGAAATCATGGAGAATTGTGTTTAAATACAGTAAAATCGACCTTGATAACGCTCCTCTGTGGCCCAATCGGTAAAGGCACGTCAGGCTATATGACCGTTCCGTATAGGATAACGGTTCGATTCCTGTCGGAGGACGCATATTTTCTATGAAAATTTCTCGAACATTCACGCCGGTAAATGTCGTTAATACTGTTCATTATAAACAGAGCATTTACTTAAATATTTGTATCTATAAGAAGAACGTATAAAATGAACGTATAAACATAAATGTCTTAAAAAATAATTGTCGGACATTGTCCATTTTATAATTTATATATATATATATATATATATATATATATATAATCAACACATAGAGGTGACGGGCTGTTTCATACTAATCGCAATCATCAGGCCTGTTTCGCTGTATTACAGCTCATCAGTGCGACTAGACAACCGAATTTCACTAATTTAATTTTTTACGATATTAACAAATGAACCGACTACTTTGCCATGTCGTATTTCTAATTTCTATTTGAAAACTTATTTTGGAATTTTCGAGAAAAAGTTCTAACCCGGTAATACATTTTATGGTGTTAATTAATGTATGATACTTTTGTTTGATATGACTTTATGAAAATATTGTCACTCATTAAGAATGAAGAGTGTAGGGGAGTTATAAATAATTAGAAATCCAAAAATACTCGTAAAAATGGTGATCAACAAAACTAGTATTGTTTATTACCTGGCTGTTATATATATATATATATATATACTGAGTGAAATTGCGAGTTTAGTATCAAATATGGATGTGAATCCGACAGAATAAGATAAAGAACAAATAGGAAAAAGCTTTATCAATATAGAATCTTTCTCTTTTAGTAGAAAATATTCTTTTTGAAGTAGTTTCCATGTTCAGATAAGATGAGTTAAAATCAAATAGAGATCGGAATCCAACATAAATAACAAACAGGAAAATGCTTATCAGTCTAACACGTTTCACATTTAATAGAGAATGTTGTCTTTTTGAAGTCTATGAAAAAAGTACCATTAGATATTTCTTTTACTATGTTCAAGATGTGACTTTTTGTTTGAATTCACACACAAATCTATATATATGGATTCCTGTATGAATTAGGATCAAATAGAGATCAGAATCCAACGTAATGATAAGATAAAGAACAAATAGGAAAAATTTTATCAATATAGAATCTTTCACTTTTAGTAGAGAATGTTGTTGTCTTTTTGAAGTAGTTTCCATATTTCAGACAAGACGAGTTGGGATCCAATACAGATCAAATATGGATCTGAATCCGACATAATGATAAGATAAAAAATAATCAAAGTGTATACAGTCTTTCTTACGTTTTTTTTTTTTTTTTTTTTTTTTATAGATGTGTGTAATGAGTGTCCAAATAATTTACTTGGACAAGAAGTGTCTGGGGTTTTCTTGCCTCGAATTTTTTTCGTGTGTGCTAAAATGTAAATGTTACTATTATGGTATAAAATAGGGAAAGGAAACAAAAAAAAAATAATAAAAAACGTTGACGCCTGTCCACGTGAACTGCTGGTCCTATAGTGAGAATGTCATGTGTTTGTGGAGAAGAGAAAAGTGTTGTAGATTCTCATTGGTTTAGAATGAGTGAATTAATTATAATTGTTATAGGTATTTTATTATAATTATATTTTAACACTATAATTTATTTTTATGGACCCAAGAGAAACAAATATTGCCGACATATCAAATACATTTTGTAAAGAATTGTTATCAACACCTGTTTACTTTGTGTTTTATTATCGATTGTTTTAACTGAGTGTATTTGCAATCTTTCTGTTTCAAACATGTTTTTAAGCTGGGTAAAAGATTTCATTAAAAGTGAACTTGTGTATAATACGACAGTCTTATTTTTGACTTTAAATTTCGTCCAAAATTCCTCATATTACGAACAAGAAAATACACTAAACGGGGAACGAAACAAATGCGACATGAAATTCAGTGACATTCAGCAGCCATCTTCTTACTGCAAAACTGATGGCTGCATTTATTCAGATGTTCGAAACTTTACAAGATTTCAGTCAATAATTAAAAAAAAAACCTAAACATTACAATTTTTTTTCTTATAGATGCTATTTTACTTGAGGACGTAGGCTGTCCAGATCCTATTTTTTTCTTTAATCTGTGGAGCTGCGCGAATGATCACCTTCCCACTCTCCATTTGTACGAACACATTCATTGTAATGTTATAATCCAGTTCACACTCCTCCTCGGTCTTTTGAACAGGGGTAGAGGTTTTCACTTGTTCCCTGTTTAGGAATGGGTTTCCGGTTCTTCCTAAAGACTTTCCATTCTCTTTATAAGGACTTTCCATTCTCTTTCTAAGGACATTTCAATTCTCTTTCTAAAGACTTTCCATTCTCTTTCACTCCCACTAGCGTCTTAGTGGCATTATCGCCTCGCTTGGGGTGAACTGATTAAAAAAAAAATATATTATTTAGAAATTTTATTTGAATGCTGGGTTCCTTCGGAGCAAAAGCAGTAACGGCTGCCCACAGCTACTTTTTCATTATCTGTGAATTACCATAACTTTATCGGCCGACCGGTTTCCTATTGCCTTTGCTACAAAACTTAACGTAACCGACGAGGCATAGTAAATCTGGAGGGATGTCTATTGATAACACAAAACCGGTCAACCATTTTATGTCCAGTAGTATATTTTATTAAATTTACGCATGGTATAAAAATGGGATATTTCGTTGAGTCCTTACTAGTAACATGTTTTTACATACGAGTCTTTAAATGCTTCCAATTATTATATTAATATGTGGTAATTTTAGAGGGATCAGTTTATTACTTAATAACAATAGAAAATCCATCCCTTACTTTATGTCCTGTAAATTTTTTTTTTTAATTAATGCATATCACGTTGAAACACTGGTTCTCGTACGATCACCAAAGTTAAGCAAAGTTGAGTTTGGTCAGTACCAAAATGGGTGACAGCTTCGGAATACCAGATGCTGTAAGCTTAGATGTGCGGGTGGTGTAATGAAGGACGGCTCGGAATTGTTAATTGGAGAGCCGAGTTCCAATTCCCGTTGGGTCCGTTATATTCATCTAAGCGCAAATACCCTTGGGAAAGGTATGAATCCAGCTCTTCTTCCGACAGTTATGGGTTGATTAGTGAAACTTGTACCAATAAATCATTATAAAAAAAAAAAAAATCTTACAATTTAAAAATATTTTCTGGCTTTAAATAACCTACAAAAGGTTGATAATCCGTAAAAAACGAATCGAGCGATCAATCATATTAATTAATGCTATTAAAAATGACGGCACACTTTAAACTCTTAAGAAAGCGGCATTTACATGTAGGTCTTTGAATGACTTTGTTTCTAATTTCTAATTCTTAATATGTAGTTCTAGGAGGATCAGTTCATTACTTAATAATAAAAGGAAGTCGATTCTCAACTTCCTGTCTAAAAAAAAAGAACATCATTTTCTTAAGTCATTACTATTAGTTTTTTTACATGCAAGTTTTTAAATATGTTTCCAGTTATTACATTAATATGTTGGGATCAGTCTATTGCTTAACCCATTACCTCCCATGAGCCCCATTTAGGGATATGTTAAAATTAAACTTACTATATGTTATTCCTTGTATTTACATAGAATTGCTTACATACATTGCATTTGCAGAGGTATATTTTACAAAACTTAGCCTTTAAAATTTTTATTATTAGCCGTGAAGACACATTCTGTCGTAAATTTACATTTCACGAGTAGAAAAATAATGACTATTTTTAAAAGTATTTTTTTTATTATTTCTAATCAATATCATTTTTTGATGCTTTATACATATATATATTTGATGTTCTAGTTCCTATAAAAACGACAATGGTAACTACTGAAATTAAACATAAGGAATAAATAAACTCCTAAGACACCTGTTTGGGCCAAAAATGCGCATTAAAAATAATTGACAGTTAATAACAGAGAACCGATCATCCATAGAACTAAATTTTTTATGTTCCAATATCATTCATGTCATCAAAAATGACCAGACATTTTCATATGTCTGGAGGGATCAGTCTATTACTTAATGACAATAGAGAACCGATCATCCATTTTATGTCCAGTGAAAGTCCTTAATCTCGAGTTTGAATTATGAAATATATTTTTCATTATGATATTAATGTATAGTAATTCTATTGTAGTCAGCTTATTACCTAACAAAATAATGGTTGACTATTTTATGTTCAGTGGAATCTTTTAATCTGAGTTTTTCATGTAAACTCTTTAAATAAGAGCATAGTTCCCGTATAAACCATATGTTGGACACTTCAACATGATGTATTGGTTAACAAGCTTGTCTCGCTAGATCAATTTTCGACCTTGTGCGACATCTTAGCTGTGCTTAGTAAATCGCTATAAACCACAGACTGGCTTTTTGAGTGTTCTGCTTGGAAACGAACAACTAGACTGAAGATAAATCAAACCGATTTGCAGTGGGTCTTCAAGTCGAAACAACTCTGAAGTCTTTAAATATTTTTTACTTATGCCATAAAAAATGATGACAAATTTCGTTAAGTTCTTACTATTAGAAGTAGGCGTTCACATGATGATCTTTGAATATAGGACAACTGAAAACCGCGTGTATCCCTAATGGGGCATGTATTTCAATAGCAACTAAGGCCTGTTCAGCATAGTTGCAGTATTAGCCACAGGTTGGCCCTTTGGGTGTTGAAGAAACAGAAATCGACCTTAACAGACAAGCCTGTTTGGAAACGAGCAGCCATGCTGAAGATGAGAAATCAAACTGATTTAAGATGTGCCTTTAAGTGGAAACGGCTCTGATGAAGTGTTTAAATATTTTCAATTATAGTTCACCCATACGTGCATTTATACGGATAGCCGTTTTTTTTTTCTTTTTTTAAAATACCATATCCCTTGAGAAGTAACTCCCTATTTTATGTATGATGGACTTTCCCGTCTTAAAATGAACTGTCATGATTTCTTGTCTGAAATAGTGGAGTAGTTTCCCTTTGCCAACCACTAAACGTTACGATCATTTAACATGTAGTAGTTGCGAGAATAGATGCACTTGTAGACAAAAAAAAATGATTATCTCCCTTTGGCTGAGATGCCGCCACGCGACGGCCGCTTGGCGACATCAGTTTATAGAACGACGAAAAGGGGCTAGTCCGTCAGTTAGCTTTCAGGAGTCAAACAGAGCAGTTTTTTTTTTTTTTTTTTTTAGCCCGTGCCGAGGCTAGCTGTCACGTGGTGCAGTTCACAAGTCCATATCGCCTGTTTTCCTTTCGGAATATATCTTCACCACTTAGTTTATATATCTCCGGCTCGCAGTCCTCATGTTGGGAAAAGCCTATGTCTTGCCGTTTCCTGTTTGAAAGGAATGTCTTTTCTAGTGACATAGAAACTAAATCCAACCTGCTCGACTTTGAGATCCTAAATATGACTTCTCCACAGACGAATACTACTCCGGTATCTCAAAATTTCCGTTGGGAATTATTACAAGAAAGACACTTTTCGTTCTATTTTCACACTGCTTGTTGTCGCATACATGTTATAGTTTTTCTGTGTGGTACAAATGTAAATGTGTAAATAATTTTGTATATGACTTAGCGGTACAAAACCCTTAGAACAAAGTATGTTTGCCATTCATTTTCTTTTAGCTATTCCGCTTTGTCGGTGAAATAATGTTATTATATCATGAATATAATAATGCTCATAATGGAGGATATGCAACTGGGAGACTATTCCTTCCTTCCATATATCACCCATTATTTGGTCACCCCTATGTGATGTGATATTGTTTAACCTCCATGCATTTCCTAAGTGAGAATGTAAACAGACTATAATGGAAATTGAACTCGGGCCACCACTTCCGATTTCCGTGCAGATAACCGTTATACTACCCGCACGTCAATTCATTCTCATTTCTGCATGACGCCTAATTAGGCTTTTTACATGCGAGTTTTTAAATGTTTCCAGTTATTACATTAATATGTTGGGATCAGTCTATTGCTTAACCCATTACCTGCCATGAGCCCCATTTGGGGATCTGTTAAAATTAAACTCACTAGAAAATGATGGCGAATCTTTTAATCTCAAACTCAGATTAAAAGATTCCACTGAACATAAACTGGTTAATGTCACTAAAATAAAACGAAACAAAACAAAAAAAGAAAGAAAGCCAATAGTAATTGTTTTTCCTTCTCACACATTTAAAAAGAAAAAAAGTACACGTTATGAAGGTAAACGTATGGAAGCTGACCTAAAATGAAAGTACAGTTTGCATCTTTAATCTGGTAATCTGTGGCCCGGTTCTCTTCTTTTTTTTTTTTTTTTTTTTTAGTCTGCCGCCATTAGTCCAACGTGTGGCTACGCCGGTAACGTTACACGTTGTTTTCAAAGGAAGCGATATGTTTTAGTGATACTGTCTTGCTCATTTCTTATATATAGCTGCATATTTACCCATTTGGATAGTAGGTATATATTATTTTTTAGTTTTAGGCTTTTCTCTTTTTCTCTCTGTCTTTCTCTTTTTCTCTCTCTGTCTTTCTTTCTTTCTCTCTCTTTCTTTCTTTCTTTCTTTTTCGCTCTTTCTCTCTCTTTCGCTTTCTCTTTCTCACTCTCTCTTTCTTTCTCGCTCTTTCTTTCTTTCTTTTCTCTCTCTTTCTCCTTTTCTCTCTCTCTCTCTTTCTTTCTTTGTTTCTTTTTCGTTCTTTCTCTCACTTTCGCTTTCTCTTTCTTTCTCCTTTTCTCTCTCTTTCGCTTTCTCTCTCGCTCTCTTTCTTTCTTTCTTTCTTTCTTTCTTTCTTTCGCTTTCTCTCTCGCTCTTTCTTTCTTTCTCTTTCTTTTTCGCTCTCTCTCAGCTTGTGTATTGCATGAAACAGTAAAACTCTGTTTAGAAACATTAATGATTGTTTTACAACCTGTTTTAAGCTTTTCATAACACCGCAATATATAAGCGGAACGAGATGGCAAGACTTACATGTTTTTTGTTAAGGGTGATTTTTTTCATCTGGCAGTGTCCTTGTTCCAAGGGGGTCGGATTAAAGACGTTGGACTGTACAGACGTCTAGCATAGAAATTCTTTTAAGTGAAAGCTCATTAGACTAAAGATGTCCTTTATTAGAAACTCTGAGGTCGGCGGTTTATCGAAGAATTTCCGAAGCTATAAGCCACAGAATTGTTGCAGCAGTAGCAAATTCAGAAAAAATGTAACTATAAATTAGAATATTAATATAATAAATTTAATTTCACGAGTCTAAAAAATAAAAACAAAATTTATTAGCTTTTTATGATTAAATATTTGAAAAGGTGATTTTTAAAAAAATGACTAAGCTTGTAATCTCTGCTTTAAAGTTGAGAGAAAAATTAAAAAAAAAAAAATCATTTTTAAAATGGAAAGTGTATTAACCTTTTACTTTGCACACAAAACTCCGATGGATGTTTTTTTTTTTTTTTTTTTTTTTGACAACTAGTATATAATCTAACATTCCCGAATTCGAAAGTTTGTCTATCTCTACACCAAAAATTTTTTCGAAATGTTAAAAAAAAAAAAAATCAGTAAAATGCATGAAAATGAGTGAAAATGCAGTTTAGAAAAATCTACAGTCGACTTTTGATTATTCCTAAATCTATTTCCAAGTAATAAATTGTTATTGGACAAAAAAAAAAAAAAATCGTTGCAAAAAATCACCGAAAACAATCGCAGTAATGAAAACTTGGGAATCCAAAATTTCAGGATTGTGGGGTCCGGATCCGACACGGAATGTACCTGTCTATATTTCTGAGATGAGGTATTATGTACTATTGTCCTCATCTTTGTCGCCATATTTATTACAACGTTTCGGCCGTTGTACGCTCTGGCCTTCTTCAATGATTGGAATGTCGAACTGTACCCTTTATTTCGCTCACTGGGGGAGACTGTTCTAGTTCTACGTGCCATGCTTAATGGATGTCAGTTATCTCCTGTCAATTTCCCTCTGAAAGTTCTCCACCTTAACCGGGTATTGAACTCACACTCTTTGGGTCCTGTCACTAACCAACGCCTTTATCCACTGTGCCATGTATCCTTGGATAATTATGGCGACAGGAGATAACTGATAACTGACATCCATTAAACATGGCACGTGGAACTAGAACAGTCCACCTCAGTGAGCGAAATAAAGGGTTCATTTCGACATTCCAACCACCTGAAGAAGGCCGGAGTGTACAACGGCCGAAACGTTGTAATAAATATGGCGACAAAGATGAGGATAATAGTCCGAATAATGTAAACAACCGATCTGGAATGTTCTTAATTTGCTCACGGAATCGGCCTGATTCGGAAATGGTATAATCTTTTGGGGTACAGCCTCTAGAAGGAAAGTTGAAAAAGTCTGACAGATTGAAAATCGCATTTATTATATAGATTACTTAAATATATTTGGTAATTTATATTATAATTGATATTATTTAATGCTTGGAATTTATCTGAGTTGTTTAAAGTGCGTACATTTGCATTTTTCATGATGGTATTTTACAAGGTATTCATTTTTAGTTTTCGAATTTTAAGCAATATATAACCTTTGTGTCTACAAGAACAAGTTTCCGATATTAGTTTTTCGAATTGTTCTTTTTACCATATTTCAGAATTTTATTTTCCCCTTCGAAGACTGTACGACTCGAAATGGTGTATTTGTTGGTCAGTGTGTCGGAGTTGGCTTCTTCTTAATTCCCTAATTGTCACTAGGGGTCTCTCTCCCAATACTATAAATACTGGGCGACTTCTCGCCTCGTTCTCTTTTTCATTTCAGCGACTACAATGTAAGCTCACTTAGAAGATCCGCGTCTTCCTATTTGTGGGAGACGCCATCAACATTAAACACACATACACGTATGTACGAACATTCACCAAAGAACAGACACAAACGTTCACACAGGCACACACAAATATTATTGTCTATATCCATTGTAAAATTGTCTTGTTTAATACATATATTTTGTGTGTGTGTATATATATATATATATATATATATATATATATATATATATATATATATATATATATATTATATTTTTGTAGGCATCATCAGATTTTTGGTTTGAATCATTAGTTAAAAAAAAAAAAATTTATAATAACTTGTTTAACAAATAGCCCAATCTTCAGATTCATAGTAGGAATAATTAACTACAAACATCCATGCAACATAACACCCTTCATAATCCATAGCCCAAATAAGTAGTTTAAATACCTTACATAATAGATAACCCTTTATAAGTCGTCAAAAAACAAAAGTTACGAAAGTTTTTCTTTTTTTTTATATGCACAATTCCCTTTCATAATAAAATAAAATAAATAAATAAATCTCCATAGACAAACTAGACGAAGGTTAATACATCTTCCGTTTCATTTTTTAGACACCCCACCTTTCCCCGACTTGACATCTTGAAAGTATCTCTATACCGCTACTTATTATTAACACCCTACACTCGCCTACCCAATTTAAACAATTCGCCCTTGCTGTTACCATGGAGATTTTGATTTCAATTTTTAAAACAAGTAAATTTCAGATATACGTTATTCCAACAAAAATTTCGCTTGAAGATGGAACGGAGCCCATTTTAATTTAAACTCAATTTAATTTAAAGGATTATATTGAAATTTTCGGCTCTTGTTTTGAAACATGAGACCTCTTATGTAGCGATTTGGAATCATATTTTTAAATAAATAATATATATATATATATATATATATATATATATATATATATATATATATAGGCAACTACACTCGTCTCGGAAAACCTTCGGTTTCTTGATTTGATAATGATCAAATCAATTTCGAAGAAAAAAAAAAGTTTTAAAAAAAAGAAAGAGCTAGGAACATGAACGTCTGTCGAAAATAATCGTACAGCATACAGGTCCAAAGCCCCCAAAAAAAAAAAAACCAATACTAATAATCAACTATAATCTATATCGGTCTCGTTTGTCTTCTTTATCTTCAGTTGGACTTTATTCAAGTCCGGCCATTTTCTTGTAGTTGGACCTTTTAATATTCTAGCAGGAGTTACACACGTATTTCTAATATAACAACACACACGGTCCTCTACAAGTGCGTATCTTGGATGTAATATGTAATTCAGGGGACATCAGCAAGCGTCCAGTTAAGTTATGACGCAAAAAAATGGCCCACCAGACAAGTATACTTCTACAGCAGGGTTTTGTAATCCAGTATCTCGAATCAGAAGTTCAATAACGGGTCGTTTCTCGCTCACATCACGCACGAGATGCAAGTCACCGACTCACCTGATTTTTTTTTTTGTTACTGTGCTACGTTTATCGTCTGACCAAAACTACAACTTGAAAAATGATTGCAATTTTAAGGGACAATCTGCTCGGCATTTAAAACCATTTTTAACTTGACAACTGTTTATTATCCTCAGCAGTTTTTTTTAATAAAAAAAATAGTTTAACAACAAAAATCCCCAAGTTTGTTCGCTAAAATCAAAGGGCGATAACTGGTGTTGGTATATCGTAGATACATGTTGATAGTGTTTTTAAAAATTTTATTATAAATTTTGCTCGGAACACATCTTTTTTTTTTTTTTTTTACAGTAAGGTTTACTCCGTACAAGGCTCTGGAGCCACTCGAGGTAGAGAGTTATGTTAAGGCATAGTCTATAAGGATAGGAGGGGAAAATAACTGTTTACCCTAGCCTTGAATAGGTTAAGATTGTAGTGATCGGGGAAATATCATCTTGGGAGTCTGTTCCACAGGGCAGTGGTTCGTGGGAAGAAGCTGTTCGAGTGGAACTTCCTTCTCGCCGATGGAATACAGAGGGAGTGTGGGAAAGTCAGAAAAACTGCTAAAATTCTCTGTGGAGAATCACGATCTCTTATGGCCTAAAGGGACGCTGTGCACAGAAGAGGAGGAGGAGGAGAAGCAGAAGAAGAATTTAATAAAAAAAGAAGAAAAAAAAGAAGAAACAGAAAAATGGAGAAGGAAAAAAAGAAGAAATGATGGCGCCATTTATTATTTTTTCATTATTTTACTTAAATTTCCTTTAGTTAAGACATTTACTGCTAGGCCATGTCATTCCGTGTTCCATGTATAATGAAGTTCTATTCTGATATTTTTTTCCTTGAAAACTCCAACTTTGTGGAACAGACTCCCGCGTGTGTACTTCCCCGAATATTACAATCATAACATCTTCCAAGTCTTTGGTTAATTGTTATCTATCTTCAATATCCCACCTTCCTGGCACCTCATTCACTCGTAACGCACACCTCACCCATCATTACTATTTCGACTGTAACCCTCTACCTTGACTGGATCTTGAGCCTTGGATTCGGTGATATTTTAAGATTAAAAAAAATTCAACTTTGCTTTTGCTTTGTCCGCTCTAGTTATGGAAGACTTCATCGACTGCTGTCTTGTGATTTAATAGAAAAAGGCGGTAGGATTAATTTTACTTCCGTTAATTTTTTTTTTTTTATACTAAATTCTTCACCCCCACTATTAGGGATGGTGGCTGGTCACATAAGTGGTAGTGAAACTCATTCGCCACAAATATCAATCAAGGGAAGGAAGAAAACCTCACCCAGATATGAACGTAGATAAAACCGTCCGAAACATTCCGAGTCTGGTGTTCATTTAACTTCCTTTAAATAATAATAATAATAATAATAATCAAAATTAACTGAATAATTCTGGCGATTTGCCGTTTTTGTCAGAATATATGATGCATTTAAAATGGCTAAAAAAGTAGCAATCATTGGTATATAAAAGGAAAGGATTTTCACCCTTTTTCTACTGTGGATGTATTGTTTGAAAAAATGTAAAGTAAAGGATATATTGTCATTCATTAAAGCAGTGTCACACACACACACATATATATATA